GGGGCAGGCGAGCCAGCCAAAAATTCAAATGAATATGATAAGAAAATCGAGAATCGTAAAGCAAGCGTGAACTTGTGCGTTTTAAAACAGGTTTCGTGGCATGGTCTATACGGTCCCTCGTGCTACGGCGCAGTGGTTGCATTTTATCAGAGGATGTGTTCTTGCCGCTGTGCATGGAGTCGCTTCCAGCAGTGTACTAGCCGTGTTGCTGTATTTGAAGAATACAGTAATATAGCTTATCCCTGCGCCACGAACGGACTGGATATTTTTGACGGTCTTATCAAACAAACACGCTGGCCGCATATGTCTTAAAGGTCGAATGCAAAAAAGTGAAAAAAAGAAAAGAAAATGAGTGGATATAAGTTTTGCGGTTTGTTGCGAGCCACGTGGTCGCGAGGCCGATGTCTTAAACAAGCATCGACCTATCAAGGGGCTTTCTCGATGTTTGCAGTACATTGTAAATAAACACTTTCTGCCACCAGCGATCCGCTTAGTAAAAACCAGTGCTTTTTTGAGGAATTTAGTTTTTGTTTTTTTTTGCAATTGTCTCTGCATTTGATAATGCCAGCTTTATGCTGCTTATGCCGGCAACAAACTGTAGCTGTCAAGTGCCAATTTTTACGGCTAGGAATTAAAGGAATGGAATGGAACGATTCAGGCATTCCAGGAGTGGGAATGGGCTCAGTGCCTCCATTCCTAGGAATTGAAAGGAATTGGATTATCGAAAACTCTAATTCCCCGGAATGGAATTGGAATGGAATGGGGGTGCCCATTCTGCAAAACTGGTACACGTGAAGGGACTGGATGGCGCGAAGAGAGGCCATCTGTCATGCGAGGTAAGCCCATGAGCGGTCCGTGGATGCCTTTCTTGTGGGCGCCCTGTTCTGCGAGTGCAGTGAACATGCGGCTTTCTAAGATGCTGTTGGAGTGTGAGACGCAGTAGACGGGCCGTGCGGAGAAGATAACAATTCGAACGCCGCAGCAATGGCATCAGCCAGCGGCGAAAGATAACGAAACTCTCGGGACAATCTTAACCGGTTGCGGCAAATGAGTCTGCTCGTTTTTTTTTTAAACATATGCTTTTCTGTCGTGGCGTCCCGTACGAAAACGTCAGATATGGCCATCATATATTTTATATACGCCCAGATATGATAATATAAGCAGTCAAATATGGCCGTATTCAGCCATATATGGGAGCAAATACGGCCGTATTTCGCCATATAGGTGGGCAAATACTGCCAGATGTGGCCGTATAAGTGCATAAATACGGCCATGTATCGCCATATACTCGTGCAAATATAGCCCCTGATAATGATATATGGGCCCGCTTCGGTCGTGCAAGAAACAAGTTATATGTACTCGCTAAGACACTAGGTGATCGGTTAACAATAGTTAACCAATTACATGAGTATCATGTAATTGGTTAACTATTGTCAACATCCTTAAAGTGAAGTTATTCCAGGTATTTGGAACAATTAATCAATTGCGCATTTTGAAGATTGAAAGACAAATGAAATTTGGTTGTATGTTTGATGTGTGACAATATGACGAAGTGCGATCGGAACGCGAGTTAATCAAATAATAGATTTTAGTCGCAGCTCTTAGGCACCCGTTTCCGAGTTAAGTGGTGTTGGCGTCGCATCGGTGTAACCACCCCGCTAAATTTAGCGAGAAATTGAATTGGTACGTATGTCACGTGACGTCAATTTTCCCGCGAAATCTGGCAAACTAATTGTTTTCATGTTTCCCCGCTAAATAAACGTTTTGTGTTTACCCGCTAAGCGGGTAAACACAAAACGTTAGCTTACTCAAGATGCAAGACAGTACTTCGTCGTCCTGAATCCTTTTCTCTTCGAACGGCTGCGAAGTCATTGCGCCCGGAGTACACTACGCAGCTCTTTCAAAAACCGTTCGCGCAGCATCGCATCCGTTCGTTTGCGAGCGTCGGCGAATCATCGTGTGTTGAAAGTCGGAAGATTGGCTATCCGTCGTGTCTTTTATGCGTAACTCGTTCGTAAAAAAATTGAAATTTAAAAACGTGAACCTAACAGTGTGCACATGTATTTCAATTTATTGGTAAAAATATATATATACATATCTCTTTATCTATTTATTAGTTGACATCATGCACAAAAAATAGTGGCGTTTATTTTTTTTCATTAAAATTATATTGTGGGTTATACTTTATACAGCATAAAACATAGTATCTTCAAACTCGCATCGTTTCGGGTCACTTTCGAGGTAGACTCCTTCTTTGGAAGTTCAAAAGTTTTACTTCATAGAGCTGTATTTTCCCTCGGTATTGACAGCAGGGTAGAGGCTACTCGTGTTTTAGGCCAGTCTTGTCTCCGGTTAGGTTCACGTGACTACAGTCTAGAATCTGGTGACAGAGCAGGACATCGCACCTGCCTGGCGCCCAAGGCCACGCATAGCATTCACTGCACTGTCGACCTTCGTTACAAGTGACAAATTCCTTCGTTGTGGCCCCATAAGATAAGCCTTTTGTTCGTGAAACCCGGCTTTGGCCTCTCCTTCTATCCTTTTCTCTCTCTCCCTAAGCTGAAAGCGTTGTAAAAGGTGCGTGGTCAAGTGGTTTGACAGATGACGCATTAGCCGTTGGCGATCTCGGAATGCGTTTAGCCGGAACTGGTTTGGCGTGTGAATTCGCCCTCTGGCTGCTTCGTATGTCTGCTTCTGCAAGTGATTTCTTCAAAGAAGCCCAATAATTTTTTGTGATGCGTTTAGTGTTCGGTTCTACAAACGACAGCTTGTGCTACATAGTGTTGAATCTTCGCGGGCACCTTCTCGTTTCTGTGTTCGAGTGGTGGATTTGCCGTGGCCGTGTCGACATCTCCTTCGGATAACACCTTTCAAGTTGATCATAATGTAGAAAACCCGAGACTGTGGTAAAAGCGAAAAAACGGAGACCCGTGACCACAGTCACGGGTTTTCTACATTATGATCAACATCCACCAGCTCGCCTGCGCACTCACAGTTTATTCATTTTTACCTTTCAAGTCGCGTCTCGTCAACGTAAGTGCGCTGCAACCTACTTCGCGACAATTGATCGTTTTTCTAAAGGTATTCTTCCAGATTAACCCTAGATTTAGGCCGTGCCTATCTCCTGGCAGCCGGGAGAATAATTGTGCAGAATGTTTCGGCATTGGTGCGATTGCGCTACAAGCAGATAGTTTCGATATTCCGCCAACAAAGTTTTGACGTGTCGCCAAAAAACAACAACAACAAAGACTCTTAATTACGCGTTCCAAAATTTGACGAGCGGCTTTACGAATCGCTTGTAGAAAGATTGTTACGATTTTGCAAAATACAGGTAAACAACGCTAGGCTACCGTAAAATCTAAACCCTGAGATGAAGATAAATCAAATAACGGACAACTCTCATTGACTCAGGCTTTATATTATGATGCTTCCTAACCGGCTTGCCTACATACTTTCGCTCCTTGCAAGGTTTACCGTCTCGCGGACGGCACAAACCGATCCCCTGACGGCGGCGTCTCGGCGAGCTTGCACACGGGGCCGCCGCCGACCGATCGCCTCCTGGCCGGGCTCGTGGAGCGACAATTCGCTCGTACTCGGCCGGGAGCCCCGAAGGTGCGCTCGGAGCGGGGAAACGGGTTATGTAACGATAGGCACAGGGCATCTACTCCACGAATGGGAAAAAGCCGATGCGAAGGCGTGCGCGAACGTAAACAGCGGTAGAAAGTGCCGTTGCTCGGCGCTATGAGATGCGTGCCACAAACTCGGTCATCCGCGGGCGAATGTTTCTCCTCCCGCTCGTACTTTCTCTAAATTGACGGACACTCTGTCTCGCGGTTCATGCCGACGAAACGATCGTCGGGATACCGGGTAATTGCTACAGCGCGAGCGCGGGACAGTTTACCATTGCTCTCGGTGTGGAGGGTCGAAGAGTCAACTACCAGCACGTAGAAACCGTTTTTTTTATTCTTGCAGATTTGCTTTAGAGGAAGCCGTGAACGCTACACTTATGCGGTTTGTGCGAGTGAGTTATATGTCCAGGGGGACGTTATGTAGTTTGCTAATGTTTGCGATAGGTCGGCTAATGAATTAAAATTCAATAATTAATTTTTAATTAGTAGAAATAGACATATGGTTTCTATTAGAAACTTGCTGAGCGTCGTCCAAAACCCCAAAACCAGTTATTTTTAGAAAAACTGGGCGCGTGTGAAGCGCAGTAGTGCGCTGAAGTTACCACTCGTGGACAAGGTACAAGGCTGGGGCTAGATCAGAGACAGAAAAATTGCGCGGGCGCCTTACCGAAACCGCTAGCCTTGTACCTGCTATAGGAGTGGTAACTTTAGTGCGCTTTTACGCGCTGAAAGACTTTCTGAGAAAGACTGATTTAGGGATTTTGGACGACGCCCAGCAAGCTTCTTATTGGAACCGTATGTCTATTTTCCCTAATTGAAAAGTTAATTAGTGAAATTTAATTAATCAGCCGAGTAATCACAAAGATTAGCCCCCACGTAATGTCCCCCTGGGCGTATAACTCACTCGCAGAAACCGCATAAGTGTAGCTTTCATGACTTGTTTTAAGAACAGAACACTAAAAAAAAACACCTGATATAGGAGGCAGATATACCCCTATTTGGCAGACCCAAATATGGATATATAAAAAATTGGGCAGATCTGGCTAGATAAGGCTTATATAAACTGATGTGCTTGATATGGCCAGATCGGCCCATTTTTTTTTATCTCCATATTTGCTTTTTTATGTACAAGTCCAGATATGCCATTTTCCTAAGGCGTCTTACGCTCTTTCTCTGGGGAAAGCCCGGAGCGCGCTCGTTTCACGGTGCAGAGTGAAGTTGTATGTCTGAACATGTGATGTTTTACCCCCGCAAGGAGTAAGACGGAGGCACTCGAGGGAGAGGTACGGCTGGCACCGGTGTCCAACCATTGAAGAAACGAGCGCTGTTTCTGGCGGGTTGAGGGCTTCCTGCACTTCGGGCACGAGGCCCTCAGACGCCGCGCAGCTGAGGCTTTCCACAGGATGGTCCCGGCGGTGGAAGTTCCCCCCGGAAGTTGAGGGTGATGGTTGACACGGACATGCTCCAAACTCGGTCTCCCCTGTTCTGGGCGAAGAGGTCCGGCGCGCTATACTTCGTCTTCTTCTGGGCATGGTGGAAGCCCAGTTCCAAGGTGGTTCCAAGAATCTGGGCATCCAGGACCACGCAGTCTGCATCCTTGTATACAAGATCGTCAGGCTTCATCAAGGTCCTAGAGACGGCGTACAGGACCTGCCACTGCAGTTGCGCCAAACGACCGCAGGCGTAGCCTGCAACATTTTCATGCTGCTTGAACCGGCCACGGTCGTTCCTGCAGGACCTGCCACCACAGCTGCGGCAAACGACCGCAGGCGTAGCCTGCAACATTTTCATGCCGCTTGACCCGGCCACGGTGGCTCCTACAGGACCTGCCAGTGCAGTTGCGCCAAACGACCGCAGGCGTAGCCTGTAATATTGTCATGCCGCTTGACCCGCCCACGGTGGCCAGGATGACAGGCCTGGAGCACGTGGCCGAGAGACTCCGGCGCCTGGCACCCAGCGCGGCAGCTGATGTCCCAGTCGCGACCTCGGCTCGTAGGCTCCAAGGTTGATATTTAGCTTGACGAGATTGATGAATTACCGCCCTGACAGAAAGCGGGTGCCGTCTGTCAGCCACCGGTGAGCCGCCGGGACCTACCTGGACTCCTTAAGTGCTTTCCCGTCACAGCTCCGGTGAAGCAGCATCCCCCACATCCGATGGACCTCTACCTTGGACCTCTACCTCTACCGATGGAACTCTACCTCTCTGCCCCGGTAGTTGGTGGCAGCAGCCGCTCTCCTCTGCAGGCTAGTGAGCAGCGGGGTCCAGAGCGCTGCCTCGCAGCCTGGGTGGTCACTGACAGACGGGTTGCCCAGGCGCTGGAGCAACATGGATGGAGTTGAGGCTCGCAGCAATGTGATCCCGAGTCCTCATTCAGTGACTGGGGCATGCAAGAATGCCAGGGTAGTGTCATGGGGCAAGTAGATCCAGCGCCACACGGAGCGCCTGATGGTGGCGTCCATCGTTTTCAGGAGGGCATCAGTCCAGGGCCCCAGGACAAGCCGATGGTAGAGGCGTGAAAGGAGGTAAAACCTCAGTATCACTAGCCTTTGCTGGGGCCGAAGTGGAACCTTCCTCACTCGCGTCAGCAGCTCCTGCAGCTGGCTGCGGAGCTCCGCGTCCTTGGTCCCTTGCGGCGAAAAGGTGATCCCCAGGTAACGCCACAAGGCGGTGACTTTTCATGTCGGAAGGGGTATACGAGCCACGGTAACGATTCTGTCCCTGGAGACCTTGAGCTTCTTCCACCTAGATGGCTGCATGAAGAGAGTGAAGCTTTTCTTTATGTTAACCTGCAGGACACGAGGCATGAAGAAGTCCTCGATCTGGTTGAGGCATAGTTAAAGCCCCTGAGGTGTTTATGCAAAGACGACCAGGTCGTCCGCAAAGGCCATGACATCGAGGCGTAGGTCTCCAGCAACTAAGGCGATGTTATGGTCGACGTTCGTGAGGTATTCAATCAACACCAGGTTGAACAGGATTGGCGAGAGGGGATCTCCCTGACAAACTCCCGTCGTGGGCTTCGCACAAACTGTCTCTCCCTGGAACTGGAGGATTCTTCTGGATCTGGTGTACAGGTCCTTGATATACCTTACGAAGTCACTTGAGAACCCAGCCCGCCTTCCTCCCCTCAAGATGGCCTCGTTGGACACCCGGTCGAATGCCTTGGTAAATACGACGCTGGCCATGTAAAGTGGTTGGAGACTGCGCCTCGCCTCGCTGATTGCAGCCGACAGAAGCCAGACGTTTTCAGCGCAGCCAATCACAAGCTGGAAGGCCCGCTCCCAAATATTTAGCGGCACCACCGCTACCGCAGGCTTGGCCAGGATACGGTGCGCCAGGCTCTACAGGACCGAAGCCGCCGTGATGGGCCGGAACTGGGAATGCTCCATAGCATCCGTGGTCTTTGGGATGAAAGTTGTTCGATCCTCCCATAATGCCTCCGGGACTCGCCTCGTTAACAGCAGGAGGTTCACCAGGACCCTCCGCAAGAGCGGAGGCACCGACTACAGCAAGCGGGATATGAAGCCATCAGGACCAGCAGCTGATGCGACTGGAATCATCGCATTGCTGATGTCTCTCGACGATGCCGGGAAGAGAAGGTCAGCCTCCGCCAGATGTTCTGGAAGGGCCTCAGAGGGAGCCGCAGGCAAAGGGCCAGACATAATGTCCCTCCAGGTAGCCAGGAACCCCACCGGATCCTGAATGGTTGACGACTCATGGCCATCCAGCACCTCTCTGTCACAGTTAGATTGCCTCCAGGAAAACAGGTCCTGTATCTCGCCGTACTCCCGCCGCTTCCGCTTTCGCCTACTCTCGTAACGGTTCCCCCTCCCCCCCCCCCCCAGTGTGGTGCGTTCCTCCTCCCCACACGAGGTTCGGCGATAGTGAACACCTGCGTGATGTAGCGATCCAGTAGGAGGAAAATGTCGACCCCCATGGTCGCCTTCCTCGCAATGTCCCATAGTCATGGACCCTCGAACTCCGCAGGTGGAGCCCGTGCAATCAGGGTTCGCAAGGCAGCCTTGTTTTGTTTTAGAGCGCAGCTCTTAAGGGTCCGTTTCCGGCTTGAGCGGCGTCGCCGTCGCCGTCGCCATAACCGCGCGGTGCATTATCGGAAATGTCCCATAATGCACCGCGAGAGACCCTCCCCCGCGGGGTCACGTGACCCCCTCCCCTTCATCCGAGGTCACGTGACCCCCGATGACGTCATCATCACTGATGACGTCATCAGTGACGTCACTGACGACGTCATCGGCATCCGCATCGTCATCGTCATCATCACTGATGACGTTATCAGTGACGTCACTGATGACGTCACCGGCATCCGCATCGTCGTCATCGCTGATGATGTCATCAGTGACGTCATTGATGACGTCACCGGCATCCGCACTGTTATCGTCATCATCACAGATGACGTCATCAGTGACGTCACTGGTGACATCATCGGTATACGCATCGTCATCGTCACTGATAACGTCATTAGTGACATCACTGATGACGTCATCGGCATCGGCATCGTCACGTGACCCCCCCCCCCCCCACACCCCCAGTACCCTACCCTCCTCCTCCTCGACAGCTGCACTCTAATTCGGCGGTACAGGGAATTGTAAACGGCTTTCACTTTTTTTCGTTGACGGCTCTAATGAGGCCGGTGGACCTCCCAAGCGACATACAGGGGCGCTCTCCAGGCTCTCCAGAGCTGCAGGACCTTCCCGAGTTCTCGGCCTAGGTACCGGCGCCTCAGTGTCGGCGCTGCAGTCGGAGGGGGTCGCGTGAATCCGGGCAACTAGCTCCCTGTATGCCACTGGACGACGATGGGCCTTCACAGCCTCGTAGGTGCGCTGCGAACCCCGGGGTGGGAGGCAGCAAAGGGTCTAGTTTATGTTGGCGCAGTCGCTGGGTATCCCAGACTCTAGACTGGCTAACAAGTAGGTCTCCTCGATGTCCTATCACGCCTTGGTCCTGGCTGTGTCGATGGTAGCATTGTTTACGACCGAGTGGGCTAGACTTAGGTGCTGAGAAAGCCTAATGGTTCTTGGGAATGCTCGGAACCACTCTGGGCACGTGTAGTGGCATCCACTTCCCTGGGTTCCGACAGATGGTGGCCGGTAGACCGCGACAGCTGCGCCAGGAGTTGAAGGTACGCAGACTTCGCCAGGCGGACCAATACTCATTGGCCGGGAGAAGCCAGCAGTTGCTGCAGGCACTGGCCGGCAGACGCCAGCAGAGGCTCCAACAGGTGACGGTCGGAGAGTTCCAAAGAAATCTGGTAGCCCCAAAAGGATCCAGCAGGGGGAGGGGGGCTGGGACAGCCGGTACTGGCAGATGGCGGCCGGCCATCACTGGAAGGGGCCAGGGGGACCGGCAGGGTCAAGCAGGGGCCAGCAGGCCGTGGCCGGTAGTCGCCAGCGGGGGCCGGCTGGACCGTTAGGCGCCAGCAGGTGGAGCTCAGGAGGAACCGGCAGGTGGTGACCCGCAGTCACCAGCGGCCGGCTGTCACCAGCGGCCGGCAGTTACCGAACCGGCAGGTGGTGACCCGCAGTCACCAGCGACCGGCAGTCACCGGGGTGATGGTCGGCAGTCGTCGGCAGGTGCCGACGGTTTCCGGACACGGCGGGGCCCCCTGTCTCCTTGGGGGGAGACGGACTGAACGGTCCTGGTGGCCATGCTTCTTTTGTCCCGGGTGGATGTGAAGTCCACGCAGGGTACTGAAGCAGGCTCCACATTCTGTCCAGCCAAACGATGGCTGCGTAGCAACGTCGTCGTCAGCAACGCCGCCTACGCCAGACGCACTCGATCGAGTAGGACATGGAGCACCAGCCGGTGGGCTGCTGCTTTGAATTTTTTTTTTGTGTTTGGGCCAAGTGATTACAGGCGAACGGGCTGGCAACTCGAATACCAAGGGATGCTAGAGCTGCTGTTGTAGACGGGCGATCCAGGGTTGCACCCCCTTAAACACCACCCGCCTAGCGGCAGGCACCACGAGCAGGTGGGAGTAAGACTTTGCGCTTAGCAAGTAACTATCTGCTCTCACCCCGAAATTCAAGGCGTGCAAGCCGCAGGAGAAAAGAGAGTCATAGTTACATCCGCCGTTTACCCGCGCTTTGATTAATCTCTTCACGTTAACATTTAGAGCACTGTGCAGAAATCACATTGCGTCAACAGCGACCAGCGGCCATCGCAATACTTTTTTAAATTAGACAGTTGGACTTCCCCGGTCCACGCAAGTTCCAAATTGACTGTTTTTTTGTTGTTTGTTTTTGCCGACTGAAGCATAGTACTTCTGGCATTAAGACCTAAAACGCCGCGCTGCTGAGGCTTTCTACAGGAAGGTCCCTACCCTGGTCCGTGCTTGGCCGCGCCGTGTGAACAGTGATCCCCGCCCAGTCCCGGTGCATTGCCGTTCCTGCTTCAGTACCCGACCGACCCAGCCCTCAGAGCCAATCCTTATCCAAAGTTTGCGGATCCAATTGAAAGCGAGCGTGTGTGTTAATAGATACATAACTTGAAAGAATAAAACAGAGAGGACGAGGACGGGAACAGGACATCTTTCATGAAAGAATAAAAGAGAGAGGACGAGGACGGGAATAGGACATCTTTAAAAAAAATGTCCTGTTCCCGTCCTCGTCCTCTTTGTTTTATTCTTTCAAGTTTTGTATTTACGGAACCTTTTTCCCGACTTCCCTTACAAACATTGCTCCATGGACTAGTGGCTGTTAACCTTGGAGACCTGCTGCGGATGTGGGTACGGCCCGGCACGAAAATCACACTCCCTCACTCGGACATT